TCAAGTAAATTTGATTTATTTTCATGCTAAATTTTATATTTGAAACATGTTTGTATTACAGTGAATATGTGATCTTTTGTCTTTTGAGATAAACTATGATTTTAAATACCAAGTTATTTTATACATTGTCTATAAATAAGAGTAATAATGATGTCAAATATATTTTCTGTGTATACATGATAAACAATAAATCATAGAATATTACTAGATATATTGATTCTAGTCTCCATTAACAGTCAGAGATATTGATATTTCTACCTCACATGAAAACATGAATACACAGTGATATAGGTGAGGGGTGTGAGTAGCAATGTAAGTTACAAATGGTAAGGGCTTTGCTTACATTAGGATATGAAAGTTTAGTGGTTTTGAATAATTCAGGAGGAATGGTGACAGGGGCTGAGGAGTTTTTAAAAAGGCTACGATTTTTGTTTCATCATGTTATTTGGAACAAATTAGTTATAAAATAGAATTTAAGTCCAGACGGATCAATTTTTCAAACAGTTCCAAGACTGATGTATAAATATTACCGATGATTCTGTAGACATAATCAGCTATCGAGAATAGGAAACGGTCCCCAGCCAATTACAATGATAATAGGAAAGTGTTATTTTGGCAATATATCATTATATTTACAGATGAAACAACCTTAGCTTACTATATACAGAACACTATGTTGCTCAATATCTACTTCTGCAAACATTCAGTTGGCTTGTCCTATCCATATGAAAACATATTCAGAACTTTTTCACCAATAAAGAATGAGCAATAACTGCTGTAAGAATACTGCAAAAGGTCTTGATATTGAGACAGTTCCATTTTAATTATGATTTCCATAATAAAATCATAATCTTTTGTTTTGCATAATCATGGACATAAGACTTTTAGCAACAACTAACAAATCCACTGACTAACTTTTTGATTAAAATTTTGACCATCTTTTATCTTTTCAGGGAAATAGAATGAAGTCCTAGCAGAGAATCATTTGTAGTGGCATGCTTCAAGATTTGATTTGTTATTAGTGAAGAAATGGAGTCATGGTCAAAATGGTGGATAAAATTCAGTCAAATCATTTTATTGCTTCTGTACCTCCATGTGACTGTAGCCTGTCCAACAGAATGTTCCTGCACCAGGTTACCAGGCAACAAGCTCCTCAGCAGTATATTTTTGAACAGCATGTCACCTGACCAATCAAAATTAGAGTTTGAAAATGTTGTCTGCTCGAAACAAAACTTAAAGAAATTGCCAGAAAATATTCCATCAGGAGTTGTCCGCCTTGATCTGAGCTACAACAAGCTTAAAGGTCTTGATAAGCAAGACTACAACCTAGACACCATCAAAAGTTTGGACCTCAGTCATAATGAGATAAAAACACTGGACAGTGATGTCTTCTCCAACAATCTGTCTCTTCTACAGGACTTGGTAATCAAGAATAACAGTATTTCAGTTATCCAGCCAAACACTTTTCACAATATCTCAAACCTTACTTCTTTGGATTTAGCGGGAAATTCCATTTCAGAATTAGATGAAACCATTTTCAATGGATTACATATTTTGCAACTTCTAAATTTAAGTCAGAATAATATTAGTGCTATAAGAAATCAAAGTTTTCTGGAAATGAGAAAACTAGAAATTCTGGATCTAAGTGGAAATTCATTACATCAACTAGAATCTAATATGTTTCTTGGATTAATGAAATTAAAAATACTAAATCTATCCCATAATTCTATAAAATACATATCAATGAAGACTTTTCAATTGTTAAGAGAACTGGAAAAACTTGACTTGTCGTATAATAGTTTTCAATCTACCAGTGACTTTATGTTTAGTGGACTAAATGCCTTACATACACTTAATCTATCACACAACCTTTTGACCATCCTATCAGAAAGGACCTTCAACAATGTATCCAGTTTAAAAGTGCTCCGTTTGGATTCCAACCCTTTATCTGCAATAAACATTCCAGTTTTCTCACAGCTTCAAAATTTATCATCTATGTCTCTTTCTCAGATGCCTTATTTATCTGACCTCAGTTTTAATATATTTGCAGGATTAGATAACTTACTTAGCCTCAATTTAAGTCTAAATCCTCATCTCTCTTTTATCAATCCTCACTTATTATCAGTGTTGCCTCGACTACAAACAATTGATCTCCATAGTAACAATATATCCTATCTATCAGCCCTTACATTCCTTGATAACCCTAACATCTCCTATATTGACCTTTCCCACAATGCCCTAAAATGTAGCTGTGATATCAAGTGGCTAACTATATATGTAAATGACAGTATAAATTGTGAACATAATGGCGATCTCATTCCATTGAGTAAAGTGACCAATGACACCTTTCCTTGTGCCAAGCCTATCCTAAATATAAACGAAATAAACACATTTTATCATAAACTGGGATCAGATGCTTATCTGACTTGTGGTGTCCTCCTTGACCCATCAATGATTGTGATATGGACTACACCAAGAAACAAAGTTCTGACGTATCATGCTTTTCATCCAGACGCAACAAAGCACCTGCCTGATCCAGACTATATCAACGAAACACGTGAATGGGTAAATAGTACCTCATATCATTCAGAATTTATTTATCGTAAAGAACGGGTACTACTTTTATCAGATAGTTCTTTATATATTGATTATGTGTTGCGTAGTGATACAGGAGAGTATAAATGTGAAGTGCGTAATGCTTATCATAACGTTTCCAACGGTATGTATATTTGGTTGGATTTTGGAGTATTATTTGACGTAAAAATTTGGAGTTTAATCGTAGGATTTTGTTGTTCCGCCTCATTTTTTGTATTGATAGTGATTTATACTCTTGTAAGGTGGAGTACAATTCGTATTGTCAACCAGCGTAGACGTGATGCTATCAGAAAACTTCTGGAAGACCTTGATGCTTACAAACATAATCAATTAACAAAAATACGAGACCAGTACAGCTCACAACTGGCACGAGTAAGTGATAACTATCATTCTCAGCTTGAACGTCTTCGTGGGAACTACTCTATGCAGATGGGACGTGTAAAACGTGGATGTTCCCACCAAGTAGATAGAATAAGGGATAACTATAACACACAAGTTGGGCGGTTAAAAGACTACAGTTCACATCAAATTGATCAGCTGCGTACTGGATATAATAACCAGCTATTAAAAATACGCGATTTTGGTTCACTGCAGTTTGACCGTCTGCGAGAAACTTGTAAATTAGGTCAAATGAATGTGATGAAGCTGATGGAGACTATGAATATGGATAACTGTAAAGGTATTGTGGATACTGAATGTCTACGTGCCGAATCAATGATATTTCCACCAGTAGATATTCAAGACTTATCTCTGATTGGTTCAGAGTCTGATTATACCACTGCTTCTGATGACACAGACGATTCAAAAAGTAATGGAAGTCAGACACCAGAAGGTGATTTAGGTTTACCATCTAGTCTAGAGTCAGATAGAGAAAAACCATTTACTTATGTGGATAGTGATTCTTCAGATGATGTGAGACCGCCACCTGTTACTATTGAACTAGATCTCGGTGATATTTCAGTGGAAACAGTCATATAAACAATCGTGACGATAATCATGTGATATTCCAACAAGACTGTGTTCCATAAAACTCAAAGCAAATTGATATAAACGAAAGTTATTTTTATTTAATCTTCAGATGACAGATGATAACTAAAGTTTATTTCGCTCTCTGTGTTAAGCCAATGATCAAAAAACTTATCCAGTTTATTATGAATATTATTTACTTTGGGAATTGCTTCTAAAATTTTAAGTTTAATATTTCTAGGTTGTGTTTACTACTCTGTATCAAATTTTTTCAAAATCATTATCTTTTGTTTTAATTTCAATGGATACAATTGATATAATAGATTTGTCACATGTTTTGTACAGTCTAGTAAATGAAAATAGTTTTACATCATACCTTCTAGGGTTAGTGAAAATGGACTAAGTCATGCAGCACCATTTCTTTTTTTCAAATTTCTGTTTGTCCAGCACATCCTGCCCCAATGTTTAGACTACTACCCCCTGAGACTTACATCATTGACCATCATTTATTCAGAATGTAAGTTACTACTCAAAATAAATTAAAACTATCACATTTCAGCACTTAATTTTCTTTAGTGCTATTTCAAAATGTTATCATCAAAATACTTTGTGCAATATCTTCGATAATGATTTGGAAATGAATTGAATTGGATACATATCCTCATAGTTCTTTCATCATTTACAGTGAAATTTTGTCATTTTTATCAAATCATCATTAATTCATGTAATTTCACAGATTGATGTGTAAAAAAGTATAAATGAACCTCCATCCTCCATGGACAATTCATACTTCTTCAGAAAAACTAATGAATATGAATAGAATAGTTATCAATGTAATATATATCTTAACATTGCATACAAAATTCTCAGTTTCAATCATCAATTCTAATTTCAATTGAATGTTATACCAATTTTAAATTTAATTTCTTTGCACCATAAATTTAAATTAATCTAACTGACACTAATTTTTAGTAATTTTTTTTTAACTATATGTATTTAACATATAAATTTTTGTATAAATTTTACATGTATTCAATATTTGTTATATTAGTTTTATTTCATTAATAAATCCAATACTATTCAGAATTATTTATTTCAGAATTTTCTAAAGAAGAATTGACCCCTTGATTATTGTGATATTGCAATCTTATATGTGTTAACAGTTATATTTTAACTGGATTGCTGTACTGATATTGAGAGCTCATGTCATCATATTAGATGTTTTTATTTGTTATGTTGAGTCAGAATGGGTCTTATCCAAATAAGTACAAGCAATATAAACTTGTCATGTTACAGAATTATATGGTAGTCATCATGTAAATTGTTGATACCTTCTGTTCAATAATAGCAAGAGTGCCATGCAGTAAAATTGTGTTACTTTATTTCAGCTTCAAGTGTATATACTATATATATATATGTATGACTAATTGTATAAATGTTCATAGAAAGAGAGCTATATTGATGTCTAAAACAATGTTTTTATTCTTAAAATATTATAGATTTATTCCAATAAAACTACTGAAAATCCCTTACATTTTTTAACTTGTCAAATGCCATTACATGTATATTTTTCTGAGATCTTTTTAAGAAATTTTGAATCGTGTTAGTCAAGCATGACTTTATGTCCTTAAAAAGTCTGACCCAAGTAAATGAAACATGCCTACTAACCTTCTGTACTGTTCTGTTCCACACTGTAACTTCATGTCCTGATCTCAATAAATTCATCACCATACCCTGTCCCATAATACCTAGTCCTAGGAAACCAATACGTAATGGAGTGGGTACAATACCCTTACTGCTGGTAAATACACCTTTGTTCAATAACAAATTCTCTTCTATTTGTGTTGAGGATGATACACCTACACTATTGGTTGTAGTGCTGGGTACTTCCTACAAAATCAAACATTAAATCTATCATTAACATTCAAACATTAAAATCATATATAGCAGTGAACATTCGGTACAACATTAATGTTACATCCAGCTACATTTTGTACAGAAGTAATATCACATTCAGTACAGTAGTAATATCACATTTAGTACAGTAGTAATATCACATTCAGTATATTTAGTACAGCAGTAATATCACATTCAGTACATTTAGTAAAAAACTAAAACCACATTCAGTACAGAGGGTAATATCACATTCAGTACATTTAGTACAGCAGTAATATCACATTCAGTACATTTAGTAAAGACCTAAAACCACATTCAGTACAGAAGTAATATCACATTCAGTATATCTAATACAGCAGTAATATCACATTCAGTACATTTAGTAAAGACCTAAAACCACATTCAGTACAGAAGTAATATCACATTCAGTACATTTAGTACAGCAGTAATATCACATTCAGTACATTTAGTAAAGATCTAAAACCACATTCAGTACAGAAGTAATATCACATGTAGTATATTCAATACAGCAGTAATATCACATTCAGTACATTTAGTAAAGACCTAAAACCACATTCAGTACAGAAGTAATATCACATTCAGTACATTTAGTACAGCAGTAATATCACATTCAGTACATTTAGTAAAGAACTAAAACCACATTCAGTACAGAAGTAATATCACATTCAGTACATTTAGTACAGCAGTAATATCACATCAGTACATTTAGTAAAGAACTAAAACCACATTCAGAACAGAAGTAATATCACATTCAGTACATTCAGTACAGAAGTAACATCACATTCAGTACATTTAGTACAGCAGTAATATCACATTCAGTACATTAAGTAAAGAACTAAAACCACATTCAGTACAGAAGTAATATCACATTCAGTACAATTTGTGCACCACTAATATAACATCTACTACATTCTGTACACCACTAATATAACATTCAGTACATCTTGTACAGAAGTTATATCACATTCAGTACAGTTAGTACAGAAATAATATCACATTCATAACACTTTGTACAGCAATAATATAACATCACATTTAACAACTCATCCACTATGTCTTGCTCTCTGTATGGAGATTTCTTAGCTAGAGGTCGAGTATTAACTTTGAAATTGCTGAAACAGGGTTACTTGACACACTTGTCATCGTATGTATATTACATCCAGTACAGCAATAATATCACATTCAGTACATTCTGTTCAGAAGTAATATAACTTCCAGTACATTTTGCACAACAGTAATATAACATTCAGTAAATTCTGTACAGAAGTAATAAAACATTCAGTAAATTCTGTACAGAAATAAAACATTCAGTACATTCTGAATAGAAGTAATATCACATTCAGTACATTTTTTACAGCAGTAATATTACAATAAATATTCTGTACAGCATTAAAATAACTTCCAGCACAGAATGAACAGTATTCCAAGCTTATTTAGGCAAGTCTCAATTCTGGCAGCTTTACTACCTTAATTTTGTATGCTTTACAAAATACCCAATGCTACTCCCTACATGTGCATCATCATCTGTTTATTCACAGGATCATTCCGCGTCAAATCATCCAAAAAAAAAGTAACCCGTACGCTCTTTGATTTTGCTGAAATTTGGTTTACTTATTTGGGCTGAAAAAGCTGATATTCCAAATTCTTATTTCAACAATTTTGACTAATCGGTTACTGAGCTATGGTCATTTGAATAATGGTGGTCACACCGCCCAATTTGGCTGAAATCTGGAACGCATACCAATATTGCTTTATTGTATCAAATGGTAAATAATAAAATCTTACAGCATCTTCTTCATCATGAAAATCAAAAGCATCTTGAAATCCTCGCTCTTGTCGTAATAGTGCCATTTTATTATCAGCTTTAGGTGAATAGATGGGTGTTTTAGAGAATGTTGGTGATACAGAATTAGATATTTTAGGACGTTTCTGTGGAGCTGGTGATTTTCCACCACTTGAGGTTGGTGAATATGGTCTTTTATTGATACTTTTTCTTCCACCTTCTTTACTCTACAAAGCATAATATACTGGTAATAATATATTGAGTATCATAGGAAAGAGAATAAAATACAACAAAGACTCTTTGTACTTGTTGGTATTTGACAGATTATTTAATCTCTGCTTAGTAATAATACTGATAGTCTGAGAATGACTATGTGTTGAATAAATCACGTGGCACATGTCAATTTGTTTATAAAAAAGTAATTTACAGCCAAATTTGGGTATTTTTTCAGTTAAGTTTCTTGGAGGAAAATTATGTTGATTTAAACTTAACATTTTTTAAAGCAATTCTCAGACTATTCAGTTCTAATTTGAAGATGCTGTTAAAATTCACTTCAATTCAAATTAATCGATAACTTTAATTAAATGACTCAGTAAATAGCTGAATGTCAATCTGACATCTAGCTCTGGTAAGAAAAGATAAAACAGTGGCTAAGATTTAGAATACCAAGTAAGGCACCTACCAATCAACATACAAGTTAAGTGACCCTTCAAAATCTTCATAAGGGTTTAGATAATATCAATATTGTCATTTTTCATGATTGATTGAATCAAAAATTACATTAATTAACAAAGATACAGATTACGTCAGATTCAGACATCCAGTCTCACATGATAATCCAACAAAAGTAGAAAGGCATGTGCAACAATGTCTATGTTACTTATAGACCGTCCATTATGGGTAACGTTTTTTAGGATTTTGGTTGCCTAACAGAATTCAATTGGGCGAATGCTAATTTGAACCACAGCTAGAATAAAAAATGAAAGCAACATACCCTAGGTTTATTCTGTTTTGAAGTTGATTCTGCTGGCTGTAATAAAATGAAGAAATATCAAATATGAAGTACAAATCTTCTGTGCTTCCACAGTTCTTCAACCATTAAAGATAACCAGAATAACCAACCTGTCACAGTGAATCTATGTTTCAGTCCAAATATATCAATTTTTACAGAAACACTACCGTACGAGAATATTTCAATTTCACATAATACTCTTATTCATTTTGTATTCTACTTTATATTCAAATTTACAAAATATATTCAAATTCATGTCATTATTTTCTTCCCAATTTAAAACGTTCATTTTTCAACTACTAATTAATTTCTTTAACTTTTAACTGTCAACATAATTTTGTCAAAATGAACATGTGATCAAAATGAACACAATTCTAATCATAATCTAATTAAAAAAAAACATGAACTATCTAAAAAAAACTTTTCAAAATTAAAACAAGGGGCAAATTTCACAAAATCAGAAACATTTTTGCAATCACTAATTTTTGACAAAAACATTTTTACAGTTTTTTTTAATGTATTTCCTAAAACATACATTTTTTTTTTTTGTGAAACAAGAACCTAGCCTGAATTGATGCAACAAAAACCAATTTCAATTCTTTTTAATATCTCACCTGTTTATTTACCCTTGTTTTAAAAATCATTTTAATGGGTTCACTTTTTCTACGTTGTCTTCTATCTATGATACCTTTCTTAGTGAGTATAGACTATAGGTGCAATAGAGATAGAATCACAATAAGCTATGACATTATAATACATTGCAAGCAGAAGTAAACAAACAGCACATGCATTTTTCTTTTCACTATATGGAGTAGCGTGTTCAAAAATCTCATTAAAATACAGCTCTAGGTATTTCCTAAGAGTACCACACTAATTCAGATCTCAAAGGGACAAGTTCACCATCTGTTTGACCAATCGTATATTAGTCTCAGAAACAGAAATAGTGTTCACAGGTCATCGTTTATATTTGAGCCTTCAAATCCTGTGTGTCTAGAATTATTCATGTTTGAAAATTAAAAACATGACTCGAATTTTCTTGAGACTCTGTTATATACAGAAAAGACACATAAAAAATAAAAAGTGAAATTCCTAGTTAAGTATTTTTGAAGGTATAATGCGATTTTCATACATTTCTGGTATTTTTGAAGACTATTTACACATATTTGAGTCAAAAATCAACCCCCAAAAATGGCAAACCTGTCCCTTGAATTAGAAATTTGCTATATCTATATAAATCAAAGGTGATTTCAGCATATTAATTCTGATAAATCATAAACAAAGACTGAAATCCATTTGGTGAAAATTAGTTAGTATGGTAATATTAGTTATACAGTGACAACAGAGTATACAGACAATATATGATAAACACATCCACATAATATACGAAAACAAAGGAAAATCATAATTGAAGTTAACTTTCACACAAAATGTTAAATTTCATGGCGATGATTAAAAGGAGAGATATGGAAAAAGCAGTTGACATGTTGATTTAATCCTATTGCTAGATTTATATGCAACAAATACGAGACAAATATCAACAATGCTATATGAGGCAAATATTAATACTACAAAGTTTCAGAAAAAACCATGGATACTGCAGCTTTTTGCGCGAAATTTTAATACAACATCAATTTCAATACAAATATCAATACTGCAGCATTATATCTAGATATGAGGGCTTTAGAATATCTAGCCTTGAGAAACATTAAATAAATTATGCATGGAAAATTTTAAGCTAACCGACTTTAATTTGATATGAAAACCAGACAGTTGAAATGGGAATGGTAGGTAATTCGGTTGCTTGACTATTTCAAAGTGCATTAGACAGATATATATACCAGAGATTGAAGAAACTTTGGATGAGGAACGTCTAATGAATTGGACTTCATGAAAAGAAAATTTTCTAAATAAGTATTAAAGTGTACATCCTAAATCAAACTCTGATAATGGAAAACAATTACTACATGTATTATGACTATATTGCTATATACAACAAACCCATCTAGCTATTACCATACATTAACACAAATATTATACCATACACTAACACAAATATTATACCTTATTTAATTTCTTCTGCAATAAAACAGTATAATTTAAATAATTGTTGAATTTAATTCTTTGAACATACAGCTTTACAAACATACGAAGTTTGAAAAAACAGAGAAGTTTTGTTGATTGTACAAGATATAACTGACTAATCGACCATAACAATGATGTGAAAATCAATTTAGCCCGATAGACACAGCATTCAGTAAAATTATATGTACAGGTTACAGATTATATCTCACTATGTTCAAAGGCCAGGTTTGGTTTAAAAACCTAATGTTGGTTAAAGAGACAGATGCAGCATTTCCTGGGGTTGATTTGGACCTTGAATATATGTAAATAGTCTTCAGAACTAAAAAACTAAAACTGTACAAAAATCGCACAATTCCTTCAAATAGACCTCAAACAAGAAATTTAACTTTTTATTTATCGTTTACAAGCTTATCTTCTCTCTGAAATTTGGGGTTTACGAAAGTTGAACGTCTTGTAGATATAGTCTCTGACACCATGACATCTTCTCTGGCAGCTGTTCATATGACGTCATCAACAGATATTCAAAATAAAAAAGTCTCTCAAAATGACGATTCATTAAAATAACTTTCAAACATAAATAATTATGGATACACATGGATTTGACAGTAAGCTGTGTACGTTATTACTTGATTAGTTTAGTGGAACGATTCATGTTTCTGAGACCAAGGTATGATTTACTCCATGAAAATGCCACACCTGTCCTTTTAATGTTAGTGAAAGTGATATATCTTGACAATTGTAAAATGGAAGTGTATAAATTGTATGTCACAACTGCAAAATCTATCAAAAGTAAAAAAAAAAACATTAGCTACCTTTTTGCCAGAGAGGGGCTCACGAGAATAGTCTTTGGCAGATGTCTTCTTCTTGGTTGGGAATATTTGAGCCAATTCCTCATCAATACTGGGTAAATCTTCTTCTGGTTCCTGAAATAATGACCAAAACTATTGGTATTCTGATTGATTAAATATAAACCTTAAAAAGACATCATGCAGATTTTTCTAATTTGACGGTGAGCTGTGAAGACTATTACTATAATAATAATAATAATAATGAAATCTTTAATATCAAGATTAGGCCCTAAGCCTCTTTACATTTTTGCCCTATGAAAGATAACATAACAATCAATACATATCATATAATATAATGGTATGGACATAATATGTGAACAATATAACAAAAAAATGTAGAAGATTATTTGCCATCTAAAGGTATAGACAGGACTGGTGAGAGGGGAAGTTAAAAAGATTGTATAAATAATTACATGTATATTTCAAATTTTGAGAGTGTAAGCTTATATCAGTCTGTAATTAGCAAGAATTGAAATATTTTATATAAAAAATGTCACACACAAATTTGAGATTATCTGAAATAAGCTTACAGTTTACAAAATAAAAAATTATGGAATTTTGGATGTTTAAAATTCTATTTTCAAACACTGACTGATAATGTTATTTAAATGTTTACACCAATGTGACAAATAGAACGTACCATAATTTTCAAGATGCTACCCTTATCTCTACTTACCTCAACAGGCATGGATTTGTACAGATCATCAGCAGCCTCTACTGCTTCTTTAAATCCTTTTGGTACTCGGCTGGAAGGATTTCCTTTATCTCTATTCTCACCATATTTCAATACACCTTCCTCAGCTATCCATGCACTGAAATAAATATGGCACAACATTAAATTCATGTACAGGTGAATCTAATATAATAAATTACTGTGATTATTGTTTGTATTTCATTCTGGTTTTAACCAAGGCCTCACATCACTCAAATGAGATTCTGTTTAAATCAATATTCTAGTCCATATTCTTGGAAAGAGATGGATAGAACTTACCATTCTTTATATCAAACCAAATACTTACTAATTTTCAGATCCAAAAAAGAAAACAAATTGGTGAGGTTTTTTATTTGATGGCCTTTTGATGTCAGGTTTAGCCTCAATGATCTGCAAACAAAAGTAAACGAAAATTGTAATGTAAAATAATGAACTATTGATTTTGAATGTTTTTTTCAGTCTTTAAAACAAATTTTCACAGAGAAAACACTTTCCAAGAAAACAAGTTCCGAAAAACTAATGTGGTAAATCTGACAAGACTGCATTTCCTTCAAACCTTCGACATAGCCTTGATGAAATACATTTTCGAAATTTCGTTTGAATGTTATTTTTAATGATATGACAGTGGACAGTGCAACAGTAGTCTGATCCTTCCAGTAAGAACTTCACTAACACAACTAATTCACCTTTCATCAGTATAATATGTGCAAAATAGAAGATTGTTTCCAGCTTAAGAGTTAATTTCCCTTTTATTTTACCAAGTTCAATATCATGAACAATCTGTTTGTTGAAAGATTTCATTTCCATAAGGGGAGATAACTCTGCTATGTACATGTCTTTTCAAATTTGCACCACCCATATAACGATCCTAAGCAGAATTTGCAACACAAAACTTATCATTTATAAGATCGCGAACACACATATTAATGATCTATCAACGGACACACTAAACTCAGGTCTACATTACCATTCATTGCTGAATCAAAATTCTCACACAATGCGGATAATTTTTGAAAGTCGACCGGCGAGTTTAAATCTTACCTTTCCAGGCCAATGAGGAAAGCCCTTCATCTTCGCCCTGAAAAATATATAGAAAATATGTCACAGAAGCATTTCCAATTGCATAAATCGATGATTACTTTATATGATCGAATAGTAAACAAAAACCTTACCAAACTAGATCTCCAACTTTAAACTTGCCTGCCATTTTGTAAAGTAACAGAACATTGACAATTGAATTGTGGGATATCCGTTAGCGTCGGCAGGTGCCCGTTATTGACGGAAAGTGACGGAGATTTCCGAAGTTTACCCACGAATGATTTCGGTTGTACTCGGTAACTTACGTGAGAAATTTTATAGTCCAAAACCCTGTATTATTTAGTTGGAATTTTCATAGACCACACAAAAATTAATTTCAAATCTGGTAAAACATTCCAGGAATTAATGGACTTTTTAATCCAATTTGAGTTGAATTAAAGCAGTCTGACACAATTAATGTGTTTGTCTCAAGTTTGCAGAGGTGAAATTGCGAATGAATAGAAAATATCTACTTTAACCATATTATAACTCTATGACTTAATGGCCAAAGGGGGGTAACCTATTTTAACTTCAACTTTTCCACTATCAATTAACTATCCAACTTAGGCCCCCAAAGTCGTCACAATTAGTCGAAAATTTAATTGGAATTGAAATTAGGTTTATTCACTATAAAATACATACACAATATGACATCAATAAAATAACAATGCGACATGCATGTTAATATATTTCGGCAATATAAAACTATGATCTTAGACCCGGGATCTTGACCAGTGCATCTTCTTGAAAAGTTCCTTTAATGAATAGATAGCTAATTATATTCAAGTAAGTTCTGCATATTATACATAAATTATTTAGTTTGTAACCGAATAGCACATTGATTTATTAAGCCAGCTACAAAACCTGTCTGTATCTTGCCATTCCACTAAGATTCTACTAGGCGTTTTATGACACCACTATCGTAACTATTACATTTTAGTAGCTTTTGTGATAGTGACGTCTTACCAGGTAAAGTATTTCTTTAATTACACGTACGTACTAAAGACAAAAAAAAAAACTGTATGGTGCAAACAGAAGCTATAACGGTCCCAATAAATGAAAGAAACGTCATCACTATATACGACATCCTACCCAATTTTCTCTTGATGTCAATGGTTATTTGATTAGCGCAACAAAATTATTTTATCCTGTCCCTGTTGTTATTCAACTATCTTGTTTTCACACTGTTTTGATACCCAGTATCGCCGTAGAGCCAATCTATTCCGTCGGCTTAACCAGTTTTTTTCAATCAGAATTTCGGATTATAAATTTTTGTATTAGAAACGTGGTTGCCTCCCCTTAGCCTTGAATACTTAATATGACCAATTGCTGGATAATGACAAATGAAAATTTGATTCATTTAGGTTACATTTTACACAGAATAAACACAGAGGTGACAAGTGAAAGATTCCAAATTTTCGTTGACAAATCTATCCGTGTTGAAATATATCGGTGGTTTTTATCATCATTGGTTTATAAAAGCCGCAAATTAACTAAAATAGGACTTAGGTCTAACATTTTATTCACGGTGACAGGTTATGAACTTATGCATTCGGGTAGACTATACGAAAACCATGAAATTACTCTTAAAGTGTTCTTAAATGGGTAGAGCGTAGTTGACGGAAAAACCAATATCTTTTTATCATGCCTTCTATGCCCTTCCACATTTCAAATTACAGAAGTTATGACCATCAGCACCGATGATGCCTCACTAAGACCTATCAGTATTTCAGCGATTTAACAAATTTGCGGAAAAGATGCAGACTTGTTTAACTGCAAAGTGGAGCCGGAAGCCGTTTGCAATTTACAGTAATTTGATAATTGTTACCCAGTAAGAGTATTCTGCAGGTGCTAATTTCTTTATGTGAAGTGTATCTAAGTTCATCGGAATTGAGAATTAGAAAAGAGAAAAAATTTCAAAATTGTCATTACTTTTCTAATTAATGTAAAAGGTTTCGGTCTATTATTGAATATTTATTTATGATAACTTTATACTATAAAATAAATTGTTTTTCATTGTATAACATTGTGTTTTCATTAAAGAGACATTGTTACTCTTTTCGTACCTCCAAAACTCTTTCACTCAACGCGTAAGAACTGTCTTTCAAATAGTCCATTGAGAATATACTTGCATGGCCATGCAAAGACAAATTTTGTCTTCATAATAATTTGAAACCAATTTTTTTAATGACAAACCAACGACACCAGGCTTCTATTTGTTAAAAGTTTTTATATTAGGCGAATATGAAAAATCTCAGCTGTCGCGTAAGGTTATATTCATGATTGTGTAGTAAATACTGTAACTGAGATCCAAGATGGCGGATAAAAATTGCTGTCTGCATGTCTTGTGGATTTATTTTCCATGATTTCATGTTTATTTCCAACCAAATGGATTTATTGTTTCATTATCTGTTAAGCATTCATTTATAGTGACATATTGTGAACTTCTAAGGGAAATATACTTTTAAACGGCCTCAACATGTAGGCCGGAGTTTCTAGCAGAAGCCAAACAAATTTGTGAATTTCACTTGAACTCCGTCGTTTTATTTTCTAGTTTTCAAGCTGGCTTCTATATCATCTGAGGAGTTGAATTCAACAAACGAAAATTGAAATGTCTGCTCACAACAGGTGAGGACCTTTAAACTTTTTCACCCACTTTCTCAACCTCTCCAAAAATAGACAACTTGGCCTCGAACCCAAGTCATGAAATTTGACCGATTTCTTTTGATTTGGTGTCATTTCTAAAATTTGACGTGTATAGGATCTGTATCAGTTCAAATTCTAGGTATTGTACAAGAATTACCAAATTCTGGTATATTGAAATTGTAAAATATATATACAATATAGCCCAGGTAAACTTTGAGTTTTGAAGATTAGCCAGAGTGGATAAACAACAACATTTCATAAGGTTGATGCAAGATAAGATCAGAAAAAAGTCAAGTTGGCAAAAGTATGTAACTTGAACAACAAAGTGGGCCTGGTACACACAATAACATGACCAATCGCTTGTACATATACACTTACAGTCCTGTTTACTGAATTAGTAGTATTTGAATGAAAGTATAAAGTGATGTAGCTGTCAGATTAGTATTGGAAAAAATTGTACTAGGAATTCAGTAATCGATTATATGACGAAGTTACATTTTCTCCACTCTTCCTGTTATTGTTTGCCGTTAACACAAAGTTGCCCAAGTTGCCCAAATAAGCTATAATAACTGATCAAAGCAAGAATATATGCAAATATAGCCCATAAAATTAATAATTTTGGCATGTTTTTAACTTAGAATTTACTGGCATTTTTTTCAATTAAATCATTTCGATTATTAATCATTTATAATCAATCTCAATTTGGTAATTGATAACCGGCCCTAGTTCACATGACCCTATGACATAATGGCACATCAAGAAAAAAGATTAATTGGGGAATTCTAGATTTTCATTTTCATATTCAATATTTGACATCAAACTTTATGGCTTTTATTTAGACTTATACACAACTCTGCAGGAATAGGAAAGGTTTAATCCACAGCTATTTTCATACGAACATCTGAGAAAGCTGTATCATTTTCTACATACCGGTACTTTCCTAATTATATTATAGGTCTAAAATATTCATACACCCTACATAGAGTTACAAGTGATGTGCAATGTATAGCATTCAATGTATGCATTATTCAACAGAATAAGATTAAAAATGAAAGTAAATCAATTGACTTAAGTAGAAAATATTTCATTTTTAGCCAATGTAGGGTGACATTTGTGATTGTTGTATTAAAGTGATGGTAATAGATCCTAGAAGCCAGTTTTTTTTTATATCTTACCTGATATAATCCTCATATTTTTCTGAAAACACTAACAAGATCTTTGGACTTTGATATGCTTCAGCTTATTTGCTTATTTTGCCAAATTATATTCAATTGGGACAATTTTTTTTTAACAATTATCAACATATCGAATTTGTCAGATGACCTTTTTTAATGATTACAGAATTGTAACTTGCTGTTTTATTTGGCACTATGATTAAGCCTAGAAGCTGTTAAAATTACAAATACCTACATGTAACACTTTTATGAAAGTATTCTGTGCTGTACGTATAACTTAGAAGTAAAAAAATCATGTACATTCCTGAATACATTAAGAATGAAGCTACACGTAATATCATCATTGACTAACACAATTACAAGCAAAGTGCTATTAATTAGTGAATAATACTCTATAACTAGGACCATGACAGCTAGATATTTAAGATATTAAGGTTAACTAGAAGGAGAACTGTGATTTCTTAAATGAACACAACTTGGTTTTTCCAAAAAGCCTCTTCTTGTACTAATGGGACAATAAACTAAGACCTCATGCTCTACAAGTCATGTACTTTACAGATCCCTCGACAGCTGGAAATCGCATAACAGTAGGCTAATGCATACTGTCCTGACAAACTTCCCTCATTGCACACTGCATGGCATTGCAATAAAAGGTTATGTGGTTTGATACTGAAACTTTTGTTACATTTAAAAAGCTTACTCTTGCTAAGTATTAATTACTGGTATGCCTATTAAGACAATGTGCATTCATATGGAAATATATCATGCTGAACATTAATGAAATGTTTTATGGTAATAACGAGATTGTGTCTATGAGAGCATGATTATAAAAAAAAGTTAACAATTTATATATGAAGGATGAAAATCAAAATGTTCTTGTCTAGTGTATTTTATTGGGAATTGACGAATTCATTCTCATTTCGCTAAGTAATGTAGCTTGGAACTTTGTTCAACATAGAACTCTTAGAAATCTTCATGAAATTGCATAGTGGTGGGTCACACAGTGCTCTCAAATTGTTAAGGTTTAAAAATTTAGCAGTATAGATTGAGGCAGTACCTTTTGATTTCTCAATCTGGTTCCTTCTTGACAGTGACCATTGATACAGCAGCTGGAAAAAGACTCTTTTGCATGACATGTTTCAAGTTACATGGACATTGATGCCTCTTTATATGAAACATCATTTTCCATTTGAAAAATTAGCAATCATGATGCATTACAAATGAAGTGTAGGAATGTCAATGTTTAACAGTGCTGGCATGATATATCAGCAATCAATACATTATGATACACCCACTATGCTTATCATAT